CATGTTGGCCAGGCTGGTCTCGAACTCCTGACCTCAGGTGATCCACCCACCTCAGCCTCCCAAAGTGCTGGGATTACAGGCGTGAGCCACTGTGCCTGGGCCGGCCTTGTTTTAGGTTTTTACATTAAAGGGAAAAAAGAAAGCGTATCAGCCATTGAACTGGCTGAACCGAGAGGGAAAGGGATTTGTGCGCACCTCTGGAAGGCTGGGCTGTGGCAGACGGGAGCAGGCAGGCCTTTCTAGAACCGAGAAGGCAGGAGCCGGAATGGGCTTTGGATCGCTTGTGCTGGGACCAGCTTCTCAGCCTGGGCCCTCCCTGGGGTTCATGAGCTGGGGAGCTGGCAGGAGGCCCGGGGCTACAGCATCCAGATTGTTCCTTGGTCTCCCACAGGAGGCCTGTGCAACCTGTGCCCAGACCGGGCCAACAAGGAGCACGTCCTGCAAGCAGGGGGCGTCCCACTCATCATCAACTGCCTGTCCAGCCCCAACGAGGAGACGGTGCTGTCTGCCATTACCACGCTCATGCACCTGAGCCCGCCGGGCCACAGCTTTCCCCCGGAGCTGACCGCCGCGCCCGTGGTGCAGTGCATGCTTCGCTTCTCCCTCTCGGCCAGTGCCAGGCTCCGGAACCTGGCGCAGATCTTCCTGGAGGACTTCTGCTCCCCACGCCAGGTGGCCGAGGCCCGCAGCCGGCAGGCGCACTCTGCCCTGGGTATCCCACTGCCGAGGAGCATGGCCCCACGGCAGCGCTGATCCACGGGGACCGCGAGACTGTAGCACCCCTACTGCTGGAGACCACGGTCCTGATGTGGACGCAGGGAACAGGGGGAGCATATGCTGCCCCACTGGTGCCTTTTCAGCCATTTGAAAGGCGGGTTCTTTCAGCAGGACAGGCATTTACACTGTGATGAAACGCCGTCAGGAGTGAGGAAGCCAGACTCCGAGGCACGCGGAGATCAAACTGGAGCTGCTTTCATAGGCCGGCACTCTCTACCCTACGTCTGGTGCCACCACTGCCAGGCTCAGGCCCTGGTGTAAGAAGTGGCCAAGTGCCTGGACCCAGAGGCTTCGCAGTACAGTGTTCTCAAGAGCTGGGACTGAGGCTTAGGAGAGCTGCCTTTGCTGCGGGAAATCAGGGATTATCCCTTAAGAGAAGTGTCTGGAGTAGTTTTCAGGGATAGGAGTGAGATGCCTCATGGTAAAAGATGTGGTGCCCCCTCCGGGGCTGTGGAGGATGGATACCTCCCCCAGGGGCTCCCCAAGCTGGGCATTTGGGCCTGGTGGATGCCAACCTGGATAACCTGTGGCCCAGCATTGACTGTCCACCCAGCCCTGCTATCTGCTAGGCACCATGATTCCAAGATGAAGATATGGTCCCTGCCCTTGAGTGACAGCCCAGTGACTTAATGTGGCCATTGGGCATCAAGCACAAGGCCATGCAGGTGATGAGATGTCAGAGTAGAGGCGCCAGCCCTGGGAACTGCATCTTCTCCCCTTGCCACCCCACGGCCCCAGCTGAAGGCTTTGGCCCTCCTCCTCCCCCCTCACCACTCCACCGCCCCAGCTGAA